ATTTGCTTATGTACCCTCTAAACCTTGCATATATTAAATGCTCAGTAAAAGTTTCCTAAACAAGTAACTGAATGACACCTCAGCTTCAGGAGCAGAAATGAATATGGAGTCCTTATTTAGCATAAACTGGTTGAGCAAGGAACTCAATTTCTTCATGTTTCTAGGCCTTAGATTTTTAAATAAAAGGTAGAGAGTACAGCTTATCATGAAGCAAAGATGAAGTATATATAACTTCCATTTTTATTTATTCTAAGTAAGAGGCAGTTATAAGGGAGGCTTCTGTATTTGAAACCTACAATATATGGTGGCACAGTGCCTAAGGCACTTGACTACTAACCAGAAGGCTGGCAGTTCAAACCCATCAGCCATTCCTCGGTCAATCTACTTCCATACTGATACCACCTCGGAAACCCAAGGAGTATTGCTACGAGTCAGATCGACTCAACAGCAGTAAGACTTGTAATAGGTTTCCTCAGGCACTTTAAATTTCAATGTGACTCATCATTGCCATCTGCTGGAAAAAAGGCTGAACATCTATAGCAGATAAAAATGGAAGTCAAATGATTCTTTAATCACAGATACTTTTAAAAAGCCTGTTAAACCCAGAGAATCTAATCTATATACTCTTGGAATTCAGAGTAAGAATGTAAGACACAATATGCATTCAAAAACTCTTGATTTTTTCCAGTGTGCATGAGGTGGAAACAATTTAATATGGTGAGAAACCATTTTCAAATATATTTTTATTGTCACTTACTATATTGATTCTATCTTATTACCATGGGAAAAAAGGCTAAGTTATATCTAGGTTGTATAGAAAATGAGACAGGACAAGAATCATTTCCAGATAGGGTAATTTTTAAACTTTTTTTTTTTTTTTAATTTCTCTACAGAGTAAAAAAAGCAGAAGTTAAAAAAATCAACACTATGAGTGCTTACAACATGTGACTTTGGCTAGAAAAAGACTGAAAGGCCTTACGGACATAGCCTCACATTTTGTTGCCACATAACACTGGAAGGACATTCATACTTAAGTATGTTAAACCCACTGCCACTGTGTCAATGCTGACATATGGTGACCCTATAGGACAGAGTCAAACTGCTCCCACAGGGATTCTAAGGCTGTCAATCTCTACAAAGGAAGGAGGCTACCTCATCTTTCTCCCATGGGGGGTGTGGGGGGTTCAAACCACCTACCTTTTGGTTAGCAGCCAGATGCATTAAGAACTACACCACCAGAGCTCCTTATGTTAGTTACCAAACCAAAACCAAACTCACTGCCACCGAGTCAAACTCAACTCACAGCAACCCCTCCTTGGGTTTCCGAGGTGGTACCTCTATGGAAGTAAATCATCCAGCCTTCCTTCCGAGGAATGGCTGGTGGGTTTGAACTTCTGGTAAGCAGTCAAAATGTCTTAGGCACTACACCACCAGAGCTCCCTATAAGTTTGTCAGGAAGTGGCAAACAGATTCAGTAACTTGGTAACAAGCTCCCTATTGTTATTGCTGTTAGGTGTCGTCAAGTTGATTTTGACTCATAGTGACCCTCCGAAGAACAGAACGAAACACTGCCCTGTCCTGAGCCATCCTCACAGTCCTTGCTATGCTTGAACCCACTGTTGCAGCCACTGTGTCAATCCATCCTACTGGCCTTCCACTTTACCAAGCAATAGCCTTCTACAGCGAACGGACCCTTCTGACAACATGACTGAAGTAGGTGAGACAAAGTTTGGTCATTCTCGCTTCCAAGGAGCATTCTGGCTGCACTTTTTCCAGGATACATTTGTTCATTCTTCTGCAGCTCATGGTATTTCAGTATTCTTCACCAACACAGTTCAAAGGCCCATTAATTCTTCTTCTGTCTTCCTTATTCATTGTCCACCTTTCACAAGCACATGAGGCTACTGAAAAATACTATGGCTTGGGTCAGGTGCACCTTAGTCTTCCAAGTGGCATTTTTGCTCTTCAACCCTTTAAAAAGGTCTTTTGCAGCAGCTTTTCCCAGTGAAATGTGACGTCTGAGTTCTTGACTGCTGCTTCCAGGAGTGCTTATTGTGGATCTAAGTAAAATGAAATCTTCAACAACTTCAATCTCTTCTTTATTTATCATGATGTTACTTATTGACCCAGTCGTGAGGATTTCTGCTTCTTTTATGTTGAGGTGTAAGCAACACGTAAGCCACCACAGTCCGACAAACTATCAGATGAGCGGTGGCCCTGTTGTGTACATACCATTAAAATGAAGGACGGTAGCACTAGCTGGAAGGTACAATGCATGCTATGGCAAGACTTCTTAGAAACAAACAAAGATACAAAATGACATTAAGACAGAAAGGAGATATGAGAAGCAAACCAGCTCTAAAAATAACAAAATCCACTGAAGAGATAGGAAAACAGTATCTAGAGTCATACATGGCAACTGTGTACAGTTGAGGAAACCACCTGCAGCTGGAGATGACATTCCCCAGGAGCATACGGTGGGAAGGGATGCAGAGGACAAAATGGGAGAAGTTCAGGGGGGCATCAGTGGTACCAAGTATCTTTCAGGACAGGAAGTATATGGCTTAACAAAGAGAAAAAAACAAAACCAAACTCATTGTCATCAATCAATTTTGACTCATAGCAACCTCCACTAGATTTCCAAGCTTATAAATCTTTATGGATGCAGAATGCCCCACATCTTCTGTGGAACAGCTGGTGGATTCATAGGTTCAAACCACTGGCTGCTTGCTTAGCAGTCAAATGCCTTCACCACAGCACCACCAGAGCTCCTTGACAAAGAGAAGGGAGGGAATATATGACCGCTGTTACTTACCTGGAGGCAACATCAGATAAATGATGGGCTAACAGGCAAGTGTGATTCCATGAGTATAGGTGAAGGAATTAGGTAATAGGGCGTTATTTATACAAAGTTAAAAGTTAGAATGAAGAGTGATCAGGAGCACAAACTCTGGAGCCAGAGTGAGAAATCTGACTCACCATCTTACGAGCTGTGCAACCCAGGCAAGGTACTTAACCACTCTGTTGCCTCGAATTCTTCACCCTTGAAACATGGGTAAGTGACAGAACCTCCCTCAATGGGATATTGTATTAAATAACAGATGAAAATACTTCAAATAGTACCTGGCACATAAAAATGTTTGCTTTTCTTATTGAAGGAAGCTTTCTTGCTATTTACTCAGCATTAATCAGAATATCCAGCATGTTCTGAGTAAACAACCTTGGCTCATCTGTAAAATGAGGATATTCATAGCACAGCTGTACACAGAAGTGATACATGAATGTAAATTTAGCACAGTGACTGGCCAAGAGCAAATACTCAATTATTTACATATATGTTATTTATTATTAGTTGTGTAGTCACACAGTTGTATATTAGAATTATAGTCTTTTCTATTACATCATATACAGATTAACTATATAAGCATGGTGTAGCGGTATATGTGTACATGTGTGCATAGAGGCATTTTCCATATCTGCAGTGACGGAATAATAATGGAATACTAATCATAACCTAAAACTGTGAGCAGAGTGATGACCTATACACAGTACTATCTTATTCCAAAGACTTTTCAGCAAAAACTTTAACCTGTATAAAGATTTGTCAGGTGATGAGAGGAAAATTCTGTAATGAAATTTACAATCAATTAATTAATCAAATTAATCAAAGTGAAAATTTTGATTTTCATTCCTCTGGTCTCTTGAATAAAGACTGCCATTTTCTGGAAATCAAACTTCAAGCACCATGGATGCATCAGCAGTTTTCCACCTACCTTCTCTATTAGCTCGTAACTCTCCTCAAGTTTGAGCAGCCGGTTCTGCACAGAGGTGGATGCACGCTGATAGACAGCTCGCCACTCCTGAAAGTCACTCTCCGAAATCTCAGCCACAGCAAAGCATAAAGTTCTCAGTCCTGGAAAAGGCACCAGACATCCCATCACCACCGCCAAACAAGAGTGATTCGCAAGTCTGACGTTTCCATGTTCATTTCAGAGTTTCATTTTGAAAACACAAACAACCAGATTCAATTCAAACAATATGTTGAAATCCAACTCAATGATGACTAAACCTTGGTAGAAAATGCATAGTAATGCTGCTTTAGCCTTGAAAATGGTCATCTTGCTTCCAATGACCACATCTAGAGTGGATTCTTTCTAAGTCCTGATCTTATCAGGTTATTTATTATTGCTTGAAATCTTCTAAGAGTTGCCAAAGATAAAGTCCAAACCCCAAAATATGGCTCATACATGTTTTATCAACTGTCTTCAACCTCATTTCTTGCCATTCACCTCCTACATACCAAGGTCTCTGCACGTACTGGTCAGTTTTTGCTCCATTCCACCCTCCCCAACTCTCCTCCACTGTTTGCCTGACATCTACTTAAGACTCAGCTCAATGATCCTAAAACACTCCCCACTGTCATCGAGTCAATTCTGACTCATGGTGACTCAACTGGGCAAAGCAGAACCGCCCCATAGGGTTTCCAAGATTGTAAATCTTTAAAGAGGCAGACTGCCACATCTCTGTTTCCCTGCTTTTGTAAAGGTTAGTGCTTCTTAAAATATTCCTTTATTCTTAGTCTGGATTAAGAGGACATAGAACTTAATCAGAGGTCAAGATTGGTGCCCTTAACAACAGTTCCAACTGAAACAGGTAGGGGGGAAACTTAGATGGGAGATTTAGCATAGTGATGAGGACTGTGGAGTCCCTGGGTGGTATAAATGGTTAATGCACTCAGCTCTTACTAAAAAGTTGGAGGTTCAAGTCCAATCAGATGTACCTTGGAAAAAAGGCTGTGGCTGTATCTTTTGAAAAATCAACCACTGAAAACCTTATGGGGCACAGTTCTACTCAGACACACACACACTGAGCTGGAATTGACTTGGTGTAGTGCTTAAGGCATTTGACTGCTAACCAGAAGGTTGGTGGTTCAAACCTACCAGTCACTCTGCAGAAGGAAGACTGGACAATCTACTTCTGTAAAGATTTACTGTCTCAGAAACCCAATGAGGGTTGCTGTGAGTCAGAATCAACTTGAGGGCAGTGAGTTTGGTTTGGTTTGGTGGTTAAGTTTAGAGATAAGACTGTAAGCTTTTATAGTATCATGGCTGAAACTAATTTTTAACAACCTCATTCCTTTCATTTAATCTAGCCCATCCCAATAGACTATGCTCTGTTTTGTGTCCTAGATCATATACTTCAGGAGGACAGAGACAGAGATCATCTGGTTCACTAAGGATTCAGAGGATGGCACATGGTAGGGATTTAACAAAGTTTTTTGAAACTAAAATGAAAACTATGTTAGATAAAATCAGATGACAAAATCTCAGGTCTCTGACTTTTCCTTCTTTTCCTAATGAACTCCTTGAGATATGAAGTATTTAAAGTATTAATAGTATCCATTCTAAAGGATAAAACAGATTTTTAGACCCTGGCCCTAAAAGATAGGTGAAAATTCTCCCAAAATTTTAGTAAAAACAGTTTTAGGAAAGTAAAACTCAAACAGTGGGTGAGGACAGCATAGAGTACAATCTAAATTATCACCAATAACTGATATTCTACATTAGGAATCACTAAGTAAACCAGGAAACGTGATTTGCAAGATGGCAATAGTTTAAGATTTCTTTGCCGCATTCTACTTACCATAGTGCCTAAGGCACTTGACTGCTAACCAGAACACTGGAGGTTCAAACCCACCAGCCACTCCTCAGAAGGAATACTGGGCAATGTACTTCAGTAGTGATACTGCTTCAGAAACCCAAGGAGGGGTCGCTATGAGTTGGGTCTGACTTGATAGCAAACAACACTCACCTTCTGTAGCAAACTGCTCTAAGTGTTTCAGGGTAATTTCTTTGTATTTTGAAGTCTCAGCCAGTCGATCATAAATGACAGTGTCCTGGAAAACAAGCAGAAGGTATAATGCACTTTGTTCTGGTTCCCTAGTGACACTCTGACAGGAAATATACCATAAATGGGATGGCCTTAACAAACAGGAGTTTATCCTTACAATTTGGAGGCTTTAAGTCCAAGTTCAAAGTGCTAGGCTCTAGGGGCTGGATGAAAGCCCCTCAACCTTAGGGTCCAGCTCTGCCTCCTGCTCCCGGCCCACTGGAGCTAGAGGCATTTCTTCACTCAGCTGCTGGCTGCTGAGCCTGAGAAGCCCCAAGGTTGACAAGGAAAAAGGCACAGTCCCGATATTACCAAACCGCACAGCAGGTTATTAACTTAGTCCATTTTAAGTGCCAAAGTTGGCAGAACATAGCAGGCTGCTGAGCAATGACATGGCTACATGCAGGATTCAAGCATGCCATAGGCTACAGACCATTCTCAAAGCTTCTCCTTCTATACAGAAAGCAGACCACATCCCAAAGGCAGCTACTTGGCTGCTTGTGGTAGATCCCACCATGGAGTTGATTACCAGTCTCATCAAGGGGAATAACTACCACCAGCTGCCCAGCCACTCAACCAGGCCTAGCAAAGTTGACACAAACATAACTACCACACACTTCATTAAGCATCATGAGTATAATGAAATTGATGTGGGCAACATTATCATTAGCATATCAATGTAAAAACAACTAATCACTTTTCACATTGATGTTAAAGCACAAAATATTTTTCCCTAATGAAAGGAAGAAATAAGATTCTAATCCTCTATTTCCATATTTCTTCTCCCTGAATAAATCCCTAACCAAACCCCTGCCATTGAGTCAATTCTGACCCATAGTGATTCCTTTGGGTTTCAATGGTGGTAAAGCTTTACAGAAGTAGATTGCCCCATCTTCCTTCTGCTGAGCAGCTGGTGGATCTGAACCACTAGTCTTCTGGTTAGCAGTAAAATGCCTTAGGAACTGTGACACCAGAGCTCCTGAATAAATCCCTGTTGTCGTTGTTGTTATGTGCCGATGAGTCAGCCCCGACTCATAACGACCCCTTCCTTAGGTTGCCAAGGCAATATCACTATGGAATTAGATTGCTCAGCCTTCCTTCCAAGGAGTAGCTGGTGAGTTTGAACTGCCAGCCTTCTGGTTAGTAGTCAAATGCCTTAGGCACTATGCTACCAGAGCTCCCTAGTGACTCTAAATTTCAAAATCTCATATTCTAATAGCACTACACTTCCCATCCGATGTAAGATCTCTCCCCAGTGAGGTATCATGGGAAGAACCTTGAATAGACTTAGCACTGCCATTAAGTAACTGAGTATTTCTGATGGTTTCACTTAAGGACTCAGTTTGCTTGCTCTGTAGAATGCCATTATTGGGTTATCTTTACCATCCTTTTCCACTTTATGTATCGCTTTTGTTTATTCAGTTTTTCTCACTTTGTAAGCTGCCTATTGTTCCGTTACTTTTCTTCGGCTTTGATTTAATGTTTCAAAACTTTTACTGTTCAAACTTCTTGGTTTTATTAGACCAGGAAAAAATAAATCCCTTACCTGCAATTACTTTCTCAGTGGTCTTACCCATTTTGGGGTCCCCAGTCTGAGATTTGGAAGCAGACTAATGGAGTATGATTTAGAACCCCTGAGAGAAACAGAACCCAGTGACCTCGGAACAGATGGAATATTCCCGGGCCCAATTATGAATTTCTTTTCATTTTTCAGGGGCAGAATGGGAAGGGGGCAAAGCAAAAGGAAAGAAGAAAAAGGATAGAGCCCTCACAGCTCTTTCCTGAGAATCAAAGGGGTAACATATAAACTGTACTTTTTTTTTCACCCCAGAGGCTAATGAAATTTCAACAAAAATAAGCTTTTTTAAAACTAAAATCTTAAGAAGAACAAAAATAATCATGAAAATAAATGTGGTAAGTAATACAGTTAGAGAGAGAACATTCTGCCATGTATCCAAACTGCCCAATGGAAGAAACAGATCCTAAGAAGAGGAGAAATTAATTTCCTATTTTATTTACTATGCTGAGGAAAGCAAGGGATAGAATGTAGCCTTCTGCATGAAAGAGAAGCATGGCATGTTTTTAAAGGACAATCACAATTAATTATGCTTTCTTGTGAAAAATACAAAAATACATGTTTTCACCCACAGTAACCCTCAATTATGCAGAGGGCTGCAGCAAATATTTGCTACATTATTAGGAACCATAATGTTTCTGCACAGGAACTAAAGCATGTGTATCCCCTAGGATCAGACTCAGAACCTACCGAGTCTACGTTTACGGAAAATCCTAAGTGGATTTCTAGCCTAGGCAAGGTGAGCCAGAAAATTCTGGTGAGGGGATATTGCCGGGCAGTCAAACTGCAGTCACTTACGTAAGGAGCCCTGATGGCATAACACTTAAGCACTCAGCTGTTAATGGAAAGGTTGGTGGTTTCAACCCACCCAGCAGCTCCACCAGAGAAAAGACCTGGTGATCCCTTTCTGTGAAGATTACAGCATAGGAAATACTATGGGGCAATTTTACTCTGTCATATGGGGTTAGCATGAGTTGAAAATGGACTAGACAGAACCCAGCAGCAACAACAAATAGCTTAAGGCTCCAAGGGAATTAAACTCATGATTAATAATTTATCTTCAAATTTTCATTCAAAAGATGTTGTTCTTGTTAGGTGCCGCCGAGTCATTCCCGACTCATAGTGATCCCCTGCACAGCAGAACAAAACACCGCCCGATACCATGCCAGCTCCGTGATCCTTGCTATACTTGAGCCCATCGTCACAGCCACTATGTCAATCCATCTTGTTGAAGGCCTTCCCCTCTTTCATCGACCCTCCACCTTACCAAGCATGACATCCTTCTCCAGGAAGTGGTCCCTTCTGACAACTTGACCAAAGTAGGTGAGACAAAGTCTGGCCATTCTCACTTCCAAGGAGCATTTCAGGTGCACTTTCTCCAGGACAGTCTGTTAGTTCTTTTAGCAGTCCATGGTACTTTCAGTATTCTTCGCCAGCACCACAACTCAAAAGTATCAGCTCTTCTTCATCTTCCTTATTCATTGTGCAGCTCTCACATGCATACCAGGCGACTGAAAATATCATGGCATTTGTCAGGTGCACGTTAGTCCTCAAGGAGACATCCTTGCTCCTCAGCACTTGAAACAGTTCCTTCACAGCCAACTTGCCCAGTGCTATGCATCATCTAATATCCTGACTGCTGCTTCCATTGGCGTCGATTGTAGAACCAAGCAACGTGAATTCTTTGACAACCTCAATCTTTTCTCCATTTATCATGATGCTGCTTATTGGTCCAGTTGAAGATTTTTGTTTTCATTATATTGAGATGTGTATACTGCAGACTGTATCCTTCAATCTTCATCAGTAAATGCCTCAAGTCATCCTCACTTTCAGCAAGCAGAGTTGTGTCGTCAGTGTATCGCAGGTTGTTAATGATTCTTCCTCCAATCCTGATGCCATGTTTTTCTTCATATAGTCCACCTTCTCAGATTATTTGCTCAGCATATAGATTGAATAAGTATGGGGAAAGGATACAACCCTGCCACACT